TCCCACCTGGGCTGCATCCCCTTCTCTGGCAGGGGAAGGAGGGAGCCACAAGACACACGGATCCCAAATCCTCCCCGCTCCCAGCATCACCGCGCCGGCTGCGCCATCCCATGGGATGGGCTGACACCCTGCCAATGCCACCAGACTCCTGTCACGGTGCCTGGCTGCACGTGTGACAGCAAACACCCCTCAAAACCCTGTGCTGCCAAGTCTCCAAAAGCACTGGGAATTTTAAACGGCGAAGGAAGGAGAATGACAAACCGAGGCAGCCCTCAGACAGGGTCCGGCCAAACACCTCTCCTGAAAACGCACCTCTAATCCAAGTCAGAGGCGCTACAAGAGGCGATAAAGCGGCGTTCCCGGCCGCGCCACGTGGGGAAAGCGCAGCGGCAGGGCCCTGGGCACGGCGTGCTCCCGGGGAGGGACACACATTCCCTCCCCGTTGCACAGCGTTTGTTTAGCTGCACGGCTCAGACCCCCGGGGGGACTGCCCGGTGCCACCAGGCTCGCAGGTTGTTCCATCGCTCATTCCCGCACGGTTTAATTCAAGGAAAGACACATCCATGCGTTTCCCCCTCATCAACCAGCAAGAGCCCAGCACTGCCAAATGGGAGAGTCACTCGCAAATCAGGCCAAAATCAACAGCGTTCCTTGAATTGTTTTTGACCCATGTGGAGCTAATAACCACCCACTCTCTACGGAAGATGTCCCGAAATTTAATGTATATCAATAAGTAGGAGATTGAAGGGAAAACAACTGCTCCTCCAGGGCAGCCATCCTCATTTTCAGCTGCTTTTCTTCAGAAGCAGAGCAGCACTGCCATCCCCACTGAGGGACTTCCACTATGATTTAAATCAAATTATTCTTTGGAAATTATACAATTGTAATTTTGAGAGACTGGAGATTTCACAAAGAGGTTCAGGTTCAGTTCCCTCAGCTGACTTATATATGCACTTCTTATATGCTGCCAGCTCTCCATACTCTGATTTTATAGGGGTTTCACCCACATGACCAGAAAAAAAATAACATGGAACAGATCAATTAAACGCCAATGGCACAAATATTGACAGGGCCCAAATGAGTTGATTTTAAACCAGATTTATATTCATTTTTCTTAGTGATACCCTTGGTTTCTCTTTTTAGTAACTTCAGTCCCTCGTTTCACTTTATTGCATGATAAAGTTTTCCAGTGTCTTTTTCTTCTAATGGAAGGGTTTTTTTTTTTTTTTATTCACATGAAATATTACTGTGACTCTGTTCTACTTTATTTATAATAAAGCTCTGTGCTAAAATAGCAAATCTGAGCAATAACTGGACAAAGTAATGGCATTGTCCCATACAATCTTGTTTCTTTCTGTGTTTTAAGAAATAAAACCAGTAGTATCAAATTTAAGTGTGTTTTCCCCATTTCAAGGATATCAGGTGCCAGTGCAAGTGTGAAAGCATAGAGACTTAAATTGTGGTGGTCTTAAAAGTAACTCATTCACTGAGAACAACAATCTGGCCACAAATTTCAATATTTTCTGTCATTAAATCCATGACTTTGGTCTCAATAAAAGAGGAGCTGCCATGCTGGACAGCTGTGATCAGAGCTGAAGGACCAAAAGCCTCCAGTCCTCATGCTGAAGCACAAGGAACAATTCCTTCTGAGCATCCTCCACAAAACATCCCCTGTTCTTCCCTTTAAACACTGTCTGCATCCAAAACTGTGACGTCTTCCAGACTTCACACTTGGAGAATAGCTCAAGACAGCCCAAATCTGCAGCTGGGAATATAACCAGCTCACCTATGAGCTGCTGGAAACAGGCACATAAATCATCACTCACATCGTGAGTTCAAGCAGGAGAGCAAACCAGACGGTCAGAGCCCTCGGATGGGGAAATCCCCCGGGATCCAAGCACATCCCTCTCTGTCACAGCCCAGCCACCCCAGCCCCTGCCAGCTCACAGCTTGTGTTTGAAGCTATTTTCAGATTCATTACTTCTTTGGGCCGCTTATTTTTGGTTGTTTTTTTTCCCCCTGTATTTCCCAGTCATCTGAACACTGCTTCATTTATTATTATCATCAACATAAGAGTTATGACTTCATTTGGCTGGTTGGTGTGACACCAAGGCTGTTCTGCTGCTGCTTCCATGAGTTGTATCCCCATGGTTAACTGAGATCCCAGAATCAATGAACTTGGAAAAGAACTCCGAGATCATCAAGTCCAACCTGTGACCAACCACCACCTTGTCACCCAGCCCAGAGCACCGAGTGCCACATCCAGTTCTTCCTTGAACACCTGCAGGGATGGGCATTCCACCACCTCCCTGCTGTCAGCCCCTTCCAGTGCCTGACAACCCTTTACAGGAAGAAATCCCTCCTGATGTCCAAGTGGAGACAAATAACTGGGACATGGGCAAAAAAAGCCCCACACAGCTCCCTTTGAATGTGATATTGCACATCTGAGCACACCTTCCTGTTTTTGCAGATCCAGATCTCATCATTCATTCATTTGCTTGTGATCTGAACATGATGCCAAGCAGCGAGCATGCCTTTGCCTACCGCTCCTAATTATTTTTCAATTGTTTACTTTGGACAGATTTGCTGCTAAGGGCTTATTTTTAGTGCTGCAGCAGCATTAGAAAAGCTTTTGCTGAAGGGTGGATTTCCCCCCAAATCACAGCCAGGCACTCCCTAAATCGGATCTCCACAGACTGGACGAGCACACGTGTCCCACAGGGCCTCCGAGTCACACAACAGTGATTAACACCACCACGGCAAACAAAATTAACCTGCATCACCTAAAACACAACAAGTTCCACCTCAACAGGAGGAAGAACTTTCCACTGAGTGCGGCAGAGCACAGGAGCAGGCTGCCTTCCTCTCTGGAGACATCCCAAACCCACCCGGACACATTTCTGTGTCACCTGCTCTAGGTGGGGATGGTCTCCAGGGGCCCTTCCATCCCTAACTGTCCCATGATACTGGTTAAAAAGCCAAATAAACACTAAGGCTTCCAGAGTGGAAACAGAAAGGTGATACAGACAAACTGGCAAGAAGGACAGAGTACCGACATTTAACTGAATGATTCAGTTGGATGAGAACACGTCAGTGGCCTCCAAAATAACATTTCTGCCTCAAGACACAAGGGTGTGACTGTTTTCCCCCCAAACCCCACACTTCCAAGTTGCATCTTACTGCTCTTTGCAACTGTCACCATCAACCCCCAGCAAACAAAGCATTCAGAAAGGATCCACTCGCACAAAGTTCAGGGAATTATTTTTCCCTGCAGGCTTGGCGTTTTCCAGCCGATTTTACACCTATCAGTAGCACTACACTTCTCTGCTCTGCTCCAGCTGGAAAGCAGTTGGAAATGCTACACTGCATTCATGAGGAAAACAAACAGAAATCAATGTTTAAATCCAAAACATCCTGGTAAATCACACTAATGCACGATTTCCTATCACCAGCAAACATTTAGACAGTTCCAGCTGAAGCTCGGAACGATTCAGGTAGCCAGGACATGACAAACGTGAAGGATGGCCCGGGATGAATATGTGAGCAGGATATTTCTGTTAAAGCGATCAGCAGCGTGCTGGTATTTAAATCACATTAAGATTTCAAAAGCATCAGTCTATCACGCAGCTCGTGTCACTCTTTCTCACAACCACGAGAACCAGAAGCCTTAAAATAAAACACCGAGCCCCCCAGAACACCACAGAGCCCCTCAGCGTGGAGCAAGCACTCGCTAATTGTGGCAAACTGATGGACAGATCAATTAACCAGGCAAGCAAAAGCCCGGCAAAGCCTCTCGCTTTGAGGTTCGCCTGCTCCTGACAATGATGACTTCAGATGGAGAGCGAGCACGAGGGGCAGCTGGATTCTTTAAAACAAAACACAACCAGAACCTCTTTCAGATAAGCATTTTGTGGAAGGGGAGAGGGGAGGGGGAGAGGCAAACCGAATAGATCCCAAATGCTCGTATTTTTTAAGTTTTCATGGCTGCTCTTGTGAAAGAGAGGGGGTTCCTGTGTCTCCCTGTGCCGGGGCAGGGAAAGGGACATCGGGGTGTGGGTATCCCCGTGTTGGGGCTGCCTGTCGAGCAGGAGCCCGGGGAGCACTTGCTAGTCTTCCCGAGATCTGCCCAGTCACATGTGCTGGCTCCTGCGCCTTATAGAAGCAGCTGGAAAAGAGGGAGCCAGCGGAGCTGCCTCCATTAGGAGCCACCGCTACACAAAAGGAGAAGAGGAAACAAGCCGACGGCCACCGGAGCAGCGGGCAGGAAAGGAGAGATGTCCAGAGCCACGGGGAGCGCACGGCAAGTGGTAAAAATCACGATGGAAATGAAAACTGCTCTGCTGTCCCCCAAAGAGGCTCGATGGTACCTGCTTGACAGGGACACGGGGCTCACAGCCCGCCCGGCATCACATCCTGCAAACCACCGGGAACTCGACGGACTCAACCGCTCAGCCCTCAGGGAGGGGCTCATGGCCCCGTTCGGGCGTGGGGAGCCCCAAAACACCAACCCCCGCCAGCCCGTCCTGTGCCAACTCCCGGCCGGGCAGCGCCGGTTCAGCTCCGACATCCGGAGGGGCCGAGGACAGCGACGGCTTTCCCTGGGAATCGCCTCCGATCCGGCGATGCCGAGGCGAGCAGCCCCCGGGGCAAGGAGCCCCCCGGGGCCGCGAGCCCCGCAACTCCCCCGGTCCCCCCGGCCCGGCCCCGCCGCCTTTGTGCTGCCCGAGCGGCAGGGGCGGAGGAGCCCGGGGGGGTTCGGCGGGGCCGATCCGGCCTCGCACCGGTGGGACCGCGCGGGGTAACGGCGGCCCGGCCCGGCCCACCCGCCACCGAGCCCGCCGTGCCCTCCCGGCGCTTCCCCGCCGCCGCGGGAAGTTCCCGGTGGCCCCGCGTACCCCCCGCCCCCCAAACCCCGGGGCGGCGGCACCTGCTCCCGGCCCGGCGGAGTTCCCGGGGGCGGAGGGACGAGCCGGCGCCGCGGGGAACGCGTGTGGACTCACCGGGAGGCTGCCGCAGGCCCCGGGGGGGAGAAATCCAGCGGCGGGAGCGCCGCGAGTCCCGAGCTCCGCGCTGCTGCTGCGTCAGCGCCGCCGCCTCCTCGGCTGCGGGATTCCCTTTGAATGTGGGCGCCCCCCCACTCCCCTCACGGAGCCCCCCACTCTGCCGCCCCTCGCCCGTGGCACGGGATAACCGGGAAAACCGGGATGACCGCCCGGCCGGAGCTCTGGCGTAGCCCCCGATGGCCGCGATTCCCTCACAGGACGGGGGCGTGAGGCGGCCTCGCGCGCCAGTCACGGCCCCCCCCCCGTGGGTCCCTCAGAGGCGCCCGAGGCGCCCTCACAGCTCGCGGGTGTGCCCGGCGCATCCCGGGGGCGGTCACACTCAAACCGAGTCCTGCATCCTAACTCTGGGAAAGTTGTATGTCCCAGGGGTCCGGCGGGAGCTCCGCTGAGAGCTGCCGGAGAGGAGAGGCAAAAGGCGGAGCGGGTTTGAGCGCCCCTCATTCCCACCCCGAGATGGGCACTGGAGAGGGCGCGGACACCCCTGTGTGGTAGCTGGCCCTGAGCAGCCTTGTGAGTCAGCACCAGGGGAATATCCCGTCGCATTTCAGGAGGAAAAAGGCCAACGGGGAGTTCTCAGGTGTCCCAGAGCTTCCCCACAGAGGACACTCAGGTGTCCATGGTTTCTATGGTCTTACCAACAGGTGAAACATGGCAGCAATGAGAACATCTGGAAAACTCCATGTTTTCCTGGAAAAATGAGTTTAAAGCCCTAAAGCAGACCCAACAAGCCACGGAAGTTATTTGATCAGTATCTTTAGCACTACCACAGTCCCCATCCCTGAAGCCTCTCCATCAGTTGCAGAATGGGGTTTTGCCATAGAATCATGGAATCTCCTGATTCATGGATGCACAGGAATTGAGCCCCACTCCTAGCCCTGCACAGGACAGCCCCAAAATCCCACCACGTGCCTGAGAGCATTCTCCAAACACTCCTTGAGCTCTCTCGGGCTTGGAGCTGTGACTGCTTCCCTGAGGAGCCTGTTCCAGTGCCAAATTTGTCCTATTTCTTTTAAATTTGGGAAACAGCTGGGAAGGAACTGGCACATGGAACAAGCAACCCATGGGGCTCCAGGAGACAAATACACATACAATGAGGGTGAGACCCTGATGGTCTGCTTGAAATTCAGCTAAACTGCTGGAGACCTAAGAGCCTGAAATACTTCCTGCCTTGTTCTGCCAGTCCACAGGGATCTTGCAAACAACAGCAGGATCAAGCACTGGAATGATTATTGCAGGATCCAGATGTTACACAGGAGAAGCTTGAGAGGAAATTCAGCTATTTGGAGACACTGGTTCCTGAAACACATACCAGTTGTTGGTGATGGAGCAGGGGAAAATAAATAACAGCTACACCCCTGGAAGCCCTCAAGGTGCAGTAGGGCAACTCTCCTTAAAAACTCTCTGATATTGTTTATGAGTTGGACTTGGATGATCCTTGTGCATCCTTTCAACTTCAGAATATTCTGTGATAACCCCATTTTGCTGCTGCCCTTTGGAAATGCAACCTTTGGATGAGACTTTTCCAGGCTCTATTTAATGCAGCTGGACATCACCAAGAGCCACTCCACAAGCACAAAGGTTCTGTCTCCTCAGACCAGAGCTGCTCCCCACCTGAAAAGCAAAGGCAGCTCATAGTGCTGCCAAATTGTTCCCTAAAAATGACATTTTACTGGAGTTTTTCCCTCTGCTGTGAGCCACAGAGACAGGAGGGAAATCACAGCACTCTGAGATCAGAGTTCAATTTTGGTGTCACACAGAGCACACTTAACTCCAGCTGTTAAATATGTTCAAGTGACTTCCAAAATCTGCCATCTCAGACTCCCATAGCTAAACAGAATCATATTTGAGCAAAAAAGTGAAGAATCTGGGAATTCCAAAGTGTTGAAACCCCCCTGCAACTCAAGCAGCAAACCCACAGTGTCACAGTGCTCCAGAGGGAAACACTTGGGCAAAATTCATGCTGAAGTTTGATGACAAATATCATTTAACAGCTGCTTTTTGGGGAAAGTGGAGGTGAGGCCACCTTCCCTCTTCCAGGTGTCTGGAACAGGAGAACATCTGGACATCGAACAGGTTGAGGATGGGGAACTGTGTGCTCCAGAGCTGCACAAGAGTGTGAAGCACAACGGAGCCATCTGCAGAGCTCCCTCTCTTTTGAGATACTAATTTATTCTCAAGTGGGGCCTTTCCTCGTCCCTTTCTCAGAGGGATGAGGGGGAAAAATGGGAAGCTAATTGCTGATTCCAGAACAATGTCTGTGTGTCTGCCGGGCTCCAGCCTCTGTCAGGTGGCAACACAGCCGAGACGCAGCATTTGAGCTTTTTCTCCCCTTATTAACTGGGAAGAACAAGCCACCAAAGCCCTGACACGAGATCTTCCCACCCCAAATTCTTGCCTGTTTTTTGGGAAAGGGATAACATCCAGGGCTACAGACTTCCTGAACAGCAGTACAACAAGAATCTTTGTCCCCAACTCACAATTTGGGCTGTGGCAGCGCCTTGCTGAGGTAGTACCTGTTGGTAAAAGGGGTTGTAAAGCCCCATGGCTGTGGGAGAGCTGGGCCAGGAACCAGCAGGGATTAAGAGATTGCCCCTCCTTTGGGACAATTGCACCCCTTACCTCCAGGTACTGGGGTGGGACAGGAACACACAGCTGAGCCAGTGCTAAAGGGAAAGAAGGAAAAAGAGGATTTTACCATTAACACAGGGAAAAGAGGGAAAAGGATCTTTGCATTATCTGATTTTAAGTTTCAGGAGTAAAACCTTTAGTTGTGCCACAGGAGAATGGGAAAGAACCCCAGCACCTCACTGTGGGACAGGCTGGGAGAAAGGTGTTTGCACTGCACACTCAGAGCTCTCTGACTTTCAGGAACAACCATGGTGAGTTTTAAAAAGTCATAGGAAATCCAAGAGGAAAAATGCCCCAGCATGGCTGCAAGGACAGAGAAAGGGAACACGGAGTTCTGGTGTCCGTGATGGCAGGAGGCTGGCAGCACCTCTTTTTAATCCAAGTGGGGAGGCAGTGCATCCCTGGGAACACCTGAGCTTCCTGCACAGCCACAAACTGATGGAGAGCTTCCATTCCCCTGGCAGCTTGCAAATAGGCATGGAAGCTTAAGCAACAACCTTAATCTGAGTAAGCTCTCATACTAAGAGCAGCAGTGTGGAGGATCCTGCACCAACTAGTTCCTTGGCTGGGCCTCAGGGAAGGACTTGGCTGCAGGGAAGAGTCCGGCACATCTGCAAGGGGGAGGATGGCCAGCCCCACCTTCCCAAACAGCCTGGTGGCCACAGATGGGGATAAACCCATCCTTGGGTCTTTATGTGGCCCCTTCTGGCTGCAGTGACAGGGCTGGGTTAAAAAGTCTTTAATTCAGCACATCTCAGCTGCATCCCATAGGGATCCTGCCCTTTCCAGGCATATCCCCCACCAAGAAACATCCCCAAATCCAGCTGTGTGATCCCATCCCTCCTGATGTCCCCACAGAAAAGGTGCTGGTGCTGCACTGGCTTGCTGGCAAAGAGATGGGTTCTGGTGGTCCCCTCCTTTCCTTCCCCCTTCCAGGGTTAACCCAGTAACAGCAAAAGGCCAAATGAATCCCTCGTGGAGCTCCATGGACTGAGTTGGAATTCTATTACACCAAAAAAGCAAATTGGCTGTGAGTGAGTGTTCAGGTCTGCAGCAAACCAGCTGTGGTTACAGAGGCAGCTTCCTCTGAGATTTCTGTTTAAACATCAGCATTTGCTCATTTTTAGCTGGGTGAAATATTCCCCTTTTTCCACCGGAAGAAGCTAGAAGGGATTCAGGCTGGAGGAGAGGGCTCTGCCAACACAGAGCTGTCACACAGGATCTCATTACCTACCTGGAAAAATCCAAATTACTGTATTGGTGTCTCAGGGAATCATCTGCAGCTTTTTGTGCCATTGCTGCTACAAAGGTTTAATTTATAATTTATTTTAATTTATTTTAGTTTTCAAAATTTCATGCTGTTTGTATCCAATATTGCCTATGAAGCAGCAGTGGCAAGGAAGTTCAGCAAATGAAAGGGGATTGCTGTTTTCTATTTCTTGTTTCACCTCTCATCTTAACAATTTAAAGTGCTTTAGTAAGGAATATATAATAGATATAATATATATAATTTATTGATGGAGGGCAACAACAGAGGGACAATGAGAATAGCTCAGTGGGGACCAGCACAGTCAGGAAATGAGACTGGATTGAATTAAAGCAGAAAATCACAGGACTAACAGTTAAGAACATCCCTGAGCGTTACAGTGGATAGAGGTGAATGTGTGTACTTGAGCACATTGCAAAATCAGGATTAAAAGCAAAGACTGCTTTATGAGCTGGGCCATGGCAGGGAGTGACAAACTCGCATGCACAGGAAGAATAAATGTCCTGCCTTGAGTTCCCAAAGTAGCCATTCTTTTATGAAGTGTGATTCACAAAACCAGGGAGGCTGAGGGGATCACAATGCAAAACACATGTCCCAGAAAGTCAGGATGGGAAGCAAGTAGCAATTATGGGACCATCTGTGCCGTGGGATGGGCTGCGGCAGAACCAGCACCGGTCCTTCGCCCCTCTGCGGGTTGTTGGGCTGGGGCAAACACTTCAGCTGCGGTCTGCTTGGAAAAATTAGTGGGAACAAACCCATGGCTGCTTGTACAACTCCTTGCACAGCATTAATACAGGAAAAACCTAATAAGAAATCCCAAAGGCACCACTCAGCCAATCTGCATTTCCAGAGAAACAGCTGGATCAGCAGGAAATCTTCATCTCTCTTTTGTGTCCCTCAGGTGGGTGGGAGCTCGTGCCAGCACACGGACATGTGGACATTCCTCAGTGGGGGAGATGTGTCTGTTCCTTCACACTCCTGCCAGCACAGGGACACAAGGACATTCCTAATTTCCTATGTGAAAAGGAAATATCACTCCTGGATGCTTTACTGTTTCCTTGTCCCCAGGCTCCCAAAGATGTCCAGCACCCTGAGGCCCACCCAGAGTCCCATTCAGAGATGTTTTCAGCCCTAAGCATTGTTTTTC